GATTTCTCTCCACAGAAAGCTCAGCAGGTCTGGCAGCATCTGTGGAGAGAAATCAGAGTTAACGTTTCGGGTCTGGTGACCCTTCATCAGGGCTGAACAGTGGCTGCCAGACCTACTGAGCTTTTCCAGCAATTTCTATTTTGGTTGACTCTGATTTACAGCATCTGCAATTCTTTCGGTTTTTATGCAGGTTAGGTGGATTGGCCATGTTAAATTGCATACAGTGTCCAGGGTTGTTTGGGCTTGGTGGATTAGCCATGGGATGTAGGATTGTGGGTGGTTCTGGTTGGGACGCTCTTCAGAGGGTTGGTGTGGACTCGATGGGCCAAGTGGCCTGCTTCTACACTGTAGGGATTTTAGATGGTGAGGCAGAGAAGTTTAGGGAGGAAGTCCCAGAGCTCAAGGCCTCTGCAATTGAAGGCACAGTGCAATTAAAATCAGTCCATCTCCATTCAGTTCCACTGATCTCATAGACACTGATGAAGGATGTTAAAGTTGAGCTAATCGACAGAATCACGTTAAAAAAGGATCCTAACGGTAAAACTCCCTTCTGTCGATGGGGTGTACCGAGGGCAGCTGATCACTTTTCACTGTTTGCTCTTGGCTTCTGTCACCTCAGCCAAAGCTTGCATAATCCGGGTTTGTATTTCATTTAATTCAATTAAAAACCTGTTGGTTCTGAAAGAAATCAATACGGCAGTTAACAAAAACAAGAGAAGTGCCTTAACAGACAGTTTTGTCAGGATTTTAGCACTCTAGCTGTGACCTACCAACAACAACAAGTTGTGCGCGGGTTAACTGGATGAAAACCATGAAGCAGGCACTACCATAGTAATCACATTTCATATATGTCTGCTCATTGTCCCTTTTCATTGGTATCAATACAGTTAAATCCCATTTAATAGTTGGTACAATCTGATTACGTTTTGTGAACCCCTGCCCATCTCTCCCTCAGCATCTTTAACATGTATGGTTGTCAAAATTGCATCAGATAATTCACTACAAATCTCATGGCTCAAATCCACCTTTCACATGTGACATTTTCCACAACAGATTGACCATCATGGGTTGGTAGGGGCCTGGGGTGGTGAGAGGGTGGGGTGGATTTGTACAATCCTCCCACAAGCCAATGTTGATATTGATCTCCCTCTGCTCCTTCTCTGCGGCCACAACACTGTATTCTGCACTCTGATGCACTTTGTATGGTACAATCTGCCTGTATAGTACGCAAAACAACACTTTTCACTGTATCTCAGTACATGACAATAATAAATCAAATCAAATCAAAACATTTTATGACACCTTCACATGCTGGGCAGCACAGTGACTCAGTGGTTAGCACTGCTGCCTCACAACATCAGGGACCAGATTTGAGCCCAGCCTCGAGTGACTGTGTGGCGTTTGCATGTTCTCCCTCTCCCTGTGTCTGTATGGGTTTCATCCCACAGTCCATGTGCAGGTTAGGTGGGTTTGCCATGGGAAATGCAGGGTCCCAGGAATTGGGTCAGATACTCTTCAGAGGTGGTGAGCTGAATGGCCTGCTTCTATACTATAGGGATTCTATGCTAAGAATCCTCTTCATTGGGGTCCATGTATTATTTTCTGTCCACACCATGATGGAAACATATAGACCCTCTTTTTCCAAGTGCTCTCTTGCTTTCAATTTCAAACCTAACTCTCTGACAGTTCCCTTGACATGAACCATTTTCACCGGCCAACTTTGCAGCTCCTTCCTCTCTCCAGACCTCGTCTTATTTTAAAATAAATAAGTTGACCAAATTGAATAAAATTAGAACTGACAGTCCCTTGGGCACACTATAACAAAAATCAAAGGAAACTTACCAATTTAAATCAAAATATCCTTTTGAGGGAGATAATTGACCCCAACCCCTGCAGTGCCCACTGGTCACAAATCCCATTCTTGCATTGAAGTGAAAATTTCAGGAGCTAAATTGGGATTTGAACCTCCGCTCAAAGAGCATGAAGCCTCTGCGACAATATCACTACCGCCCTTGAAAATATTCTGAGGCATTTTGTTGCAAGATTCTAGGTGAAAAAATACACAAGCAACCAAAGCCTCTGAGATGGTTTAACATTTTGGGTCGAGATGAAGCATTCCCGACGTACACTTCCATTGTAGGTTTCTTTATTTCTTTCAAATCGAGCTCAAAGAAGCAGAGGGGATAGTTTTTAAAACAAAACTCTTGAAGTGGCTCCTGTCGGAGATTTGAGGTGCAAGGGACAGCTGAGCGCCCAGCAAAAGGTGCCAGCGGCCACAGAAGGTGCACGAGTTCGCGCCTCGAGCACACCTCCCCCCCGCCCCGCAGTGGCCGCTTCTATGTGGCAATTAGTGGTCCCTGTTCGGGACGCGGCACGGAGTGTGGAATGGGGGTGCAGAGCAAAGTGAGCCCGCCCGCAGCTCGCCTCAGTTCTGTTGGCGCGATCTGACGGGAATGGGACATCTCGGGGTTGTCCCCTTCGGCTCGAAAAGATCGGACCCGCCAGTTGTTTGACGGCGGGAACTTGCAGCAGTTCCAATCCCACACCTCATCCGTAGTCGGCCTTAGTGGACAGTCTGCATAATTTGATAATGTTGGGTTACAACTACTTTCAGTACAAGGGGTTTGCATGGCGCTGTGGTGGTTTCTCTACCTGGGGACGGGGTTCAAATCCCACCTGTTTTGGAGGTATATTACAGTAAGTCTGTTGTAATTTTCTTCCAAACCCGGTGAGTTTGGCAGTAAATCCTACCGCAGTACATTTTGCAAGTGGCACCTTTTTAAAAAATTACTTAATCAAGTCAAAAAAAAGTCAGAATAAATGTCACTTCTGCATGCAGGCATGATCAAAGTGGCAATGGGCTATCAAGTTATTCACTTAAAAGACACTTGCTAATTGTTTTAGATTTACACTTGTCAGTAGCTGTTTTATCTGGCCAACAGGCAATCTGCATACCGCATACCCTGGATTTCTTAATTATTTTTTCATTTAAGCTATTTTTCTAATCCTGCTCAGAAATGTTATTACAAATATTCCCTTTCGTACTTATTTGGCTTATGGATATTTGTATTTTGTATTATGCTTTTATATATTATCAAGGTTAGATAAGGGGAAATGTCCTTTTTTTGTACTTGTAATTATTTATACGAGTTGGATTAACAAACTTCCCCCACAGTCACATCCGCTAACCTAAATATTTATGTTTACCTATTGTCTCAACTGATACAGAATTCGTTTAATGCAATGTTACAAGTACAATTGTTTCACTGCTGCCTCTTTTTTCCACGCCAGAATTGAAAACACTGTTCAAGGTGGACAAAATGTTCAAAACGAATGCTGTGATACTGAACAGATCAAATAGAATCCCTAGTCTAGACATTTTTCCTCCAATTGACCGGTTCTGGGATCTTATTATACACCTCTCGAGCAGGTGGGACTTAAAGCTAAGTCTCCTAGCTCAGAGGTAGGGACACTACCACTGCTCCACAACAAATCCTCGGTCTGTACTGAGTTAGTGGAAGTCAGGCAGGCACACCTAGTCCCAAAATCCCTGAGGGAAGGAGGGAGACCAGTCAGGGTTGTCACTCCTGTGATTCCCTCGGTGCTTGGATCCCGAGGGAGGACTGACTGATGCTGTTAACGGCATCTATGCTTATGCAGCCAGCTACACTCACCCGCCTGAGCTCACACCCGAGGATCTGCTAATGCGGTGTGAGCCCTCTCAGCAGAAGGAGCCAGAAAGAAACGCTGCTCACCTTTTGCAAAAAAAGAGACGGGGTCTAAAAATAAAAGCACTGTTGCACCTCTGGCACATCTTCTGACCAGTCCCACAGCTATTTTGGAAACCACCTTACCAAAGATTCAAAGTTATGATTTCTGCACTTTAGAGCTTTGGGGTTAATCCTGCTATTGTAGCAATGCACTACCACAACTTTTAAATGCATGAAAAATAAGTTGTCCCTACCCAGTTAAAGCCTGGGGTGTCGGCACAGGGATAAACCAGCTATGCCCCAGCATTTGAATGCAATTAATATAGAATTTGACAGTTTGCGTTACTCCTACAGCAACGAGTCTTGAGTAACTGTCGGCGTTACTGTCCTTGCTGACCTGATTTCTTGCACTGTAATTCCACTTAACGCTGTCCTGCAAACCCTACCTCTCCCCATCACCGTGTGCACGACCTTCAGAAATGTTACAGTTGCCCGGTTAGCCTCACAATCACTTGTAAAGCAACAGCTGAATTCCAGCTTCCTGCAATTGAACCGTATTCTGCACACAAGCGCAGACAGCTACAAAACCTCAGCAAGTTCCTCCAAAGTGCCACACACAGAACAGAGCTTTAAAAATGCTGTCTTCATGCATGTTTAACTTGCAATATTTTGACGATAACGTTTACAAAAAAAAGTACGTCCACAGCAAAACAGAATAAAATAAATCATTGCTTTGGAGTGTAAAAAAAAGCTGGTTTATGTTCCCCCCAATGTAATTCATAACACCTTTTTTCCTGAAGAAGAAAGCAATAAGCTATTACTTGCAATACATACCTGATGGTAAAAACGTGTGGTATATCTTTGGTTTTTTTAGAAAAAGAATCCAGATCAAAAATGTTGCACAGAAATAGATTTGGAAAACAAACAGAGAGGGGGGGACAAAAACTCCCAGCTGATGATTTCGGTTGCCCGGCCAAAGAAACAGGTTGGAAGCACCTGTCTGAGTTGCTGAAGAGCCTAAGTCCCTTTCTGCAACCTCCCTCCCCGGCTTCTGGGAATTACTGTTGTCAATTGCACTGTAATAAACTATCCATTCGGTCTGGGGTGTACAGGGGGGAGGGAGGGAAGTTTGTTGGTCGGTCAGGAAGGAGGTGGGGGGGGCGCTCCTATTGGTCTACCTCCCGGCCTGTAGGTGGCACCCCGTCTGGGAACCGAGCCAATCGCTGGGCGACGGAATGCAGGCTGACGCGCACGGAGCCTCCGTTGACGCGCAGGAGGATCCAAAAATAGCTTCAGGTGAGCCCCGCTGGTTTCCATGGGAATAAGGATATCCAACCGGCTGAGCAACTCCGCCCCACCCCTGCCGGCATGCCAACGGACTGAAGCAGGATAAGGGTAGATCACCCTGATTTGCATATCTTCCTTCTGTTGTGATTATGATTCGATTTATTTTCGTCACATGTACTAAGATACAGTTGAATGGTGAGGAATGCAAAGATAGAATCCCTATAGCGTGGAAGTGGGCCATTCGAGTCCACGCCGGCTCTCCGAAGAGTATCCCACCCTAAACCCTTAACCCTACATTTAGCACGGCTAATCCATCCTAATCTGCACGTCTTTAGACTGTGGGAGGAAACCCACACAGACGCAGGGAGAGTGTGCAAACTCCACGCAGAGGTTGGAGTTAAACTCAGGCCCCCTGGAGCTGTGAGGCAGCGGTTTTAACTACTGAGCCACTATGCCACCCAATGCTCTCATCCCTTTTGGGAATGTTGGACATCACAGGCTCTGGGCCTGCCCCTAACTACCCTTGGTGGTGAGCTGCTTTCTTGAACCTCCCCCCACCCCCATGGAGAGGTTGGGGGTGGGAGTTACTTTTGTTCAGAAAGTGAAAATATATAGTAGGCTGGAGTCACACAGCGGATCTGACAGAATGAACATTCCAAGTTGATGACTATTTTAAAATTCTTTTCATGGGATGTGGGCATCCTGGCTGTACCAGCATTTATTGCCCATCCCTTGAGAAGGTGGGGGTGAGCTGCCTTCTTGAACCGCTGCAGTCCATGTGGTGTAGGTTGACCCACAATGCCCTTAGGGAGGGGATTCCAGGATTCTGACCCAGTGACACTGAAGGAACGGCGATATATTTCCAAGTTAGGATGGTGAGTGGCTTGGAGGAAAACTTGTAGGGGGTGATGTTCCCATGTGTCTGCTACCCTTGTCCTTCTAGATGGAAATGGTCGTGGGTTTGGAAGGTAATGTCTGAGGATCTTTGGTGAATTTCTGCAGTACATCTTGTAGATACTACACACTGCTGCTACTGAGCATTAGTGGTGGAGGGAGTGGATGTTTGAGGATGTGTGGCACTCAAGCAGGCTGCTTTGTGCTGGATGGTGTCAAGCTTCTTGGAGCTGCATGCACTGAGGCAAAGATTTTCCAGCAAGAGAACATTTTCCCTCACCAAAGGAGTTCTGCCCACAGATGCTGCCAGACCCAGAGAACATGTTTGCTTTTACATATCCAGAGGTATTGGCTTTACAGCTGACATGAAAGGAAGATCCAGCATTTGCATAGCACCATTCATGAATCATGGTCCTGAAAGGTCTAGAGTGCTTTATAGGCACTGAGGTGCTTTTATAATGGAGGAAACATGGAAGCCGATTTGTACACAGCAAGCTCCCACAGAGAGCAATCTAATAATGTAGAGAGATAGTAGGAACTGCCGATGCTGGAGAATCTGAGATAACAAGGTGTAGAGCTGGATGAACACAGCAGGCCAAGCAGCATCAGAGGAGCAGGAAAGCTGACATTTCGGGTTGAGAATCTGTTTTTAGTGATGATTGTCGAAGGATAAATATTGACCAGGACATTATGGAAGAACACTCCTGTCTTACCTAAAATAGTGCAACGGTATCTCTCAATTTCACCTGTGAAAACAGACAGAACTATACATTATTCACCCGATGGACAGTTATGTCTGACAGCTGAGCATTTCTTCCATGCTGTATTTATACAGTCACTGAATCGCTGCAGCACTGAAGGAGGCCATTCACCCATTGTGGCTGTGCTGATTTTCTGAAAAAGTAATTCGTCTTGTGCCACTCCCCTGCTGCTCTGCATGCTTTTCCGTTTCAGATAATGATCTAATTCCCTCTTGAAAGTCTCGTTTGAACCTTTTTCCCTGCACTCTTGGTCAGCACATTCCAGATCCTAATCACTCATGGCATGAAGAAGTTTTTCCTCATGTCTGCATTGCTTCTTTTGCCAATTACTGTGCCCTGTGCTTCCACCCAATGGGAATCGTTTCTCCCTTTTTTTAAATTCATGCAAGGGATGAGGGTCCACTGACTAGGCCAGCATTTATTGCCCATCCCTAATGGCCCGGAGAGCAGTTAAGAGTCAGCCACATTGCTGTGGGTCTGGAGTCGCATGTAGGACAGATCGGGAAAGGGTGGCAATTTCCTTTCCTCAAGGACATTCGTAAACCAGATGGGTTTTCTAACAATCAACAATGGATTCACGGTCATCATTAAACTGTTCATTCCAGATTTTTTTAAAATTGAATTAGAATTTTTAAAAATTGAATTGGAATTTTACCATGAGATAGTAAGAACTGCCGATGCTGGAGTCAGAGATAACACAGTGTGGAGCTGGAGGAACACAGCAGGCCAGGCAGCATCAGAGGAACAGGAAAGCTGATGTTTCGGGTTAGGGACCCTTCTTCAGAAAAATTTTACCATGGTAGGATTCAGACCCAGGTCCTTAGAACATTACCTGGGTATCTGGATTAAGAGTCCAGCAATAATACCAATAGGCCATCACCTTCCCAATTGATCTATTCTGTCCAGACCCCTCATGATTTTGTACCCCTCAATCGGATCTCCACTCAGCCTTCTCTTCTCCAAGGTGAACCATCCCAACATCTCTAATCTATGCACATAACTGAAGGTTATCAACACTGAGACCATTCTCACGGTTCTGTTATGCCCCCTTTCTAACACCTTCACACTCTTCCTAAAGTGCAGTGCCCAGAACTGGACACAACACCACTGAGGCTAAACCAGTGCTGATTGCAGATTCAACATAACTGGCTTCCTTTTCTACTCTATGTGTCTGTTGCCAGGATGCTGCAAGCTTTATTAACTGTGCTGTCAACCTGCATTGGCACCGTCAATCATTGGTGCATGTATACACACAGGTCCCTCTGCCCCATACCCCCGTTATAATTGTCCCCTTTATTTTGTCTTTCTGCCTTCTTCCAACCAAAATGTAGTGACCTGACACCTCTCTGCATTAAATATAACCTCCCACTCATCCATCCATTCCACCAACTTCTGAGAAACTCATTGCCGCAAAGGGCTGTGGAGGCCAACTCATTGAGTGTCTTTAAGAGAGAGATAGGTAGGTTCTTGATTGGTAAGGGGATCAAAGGTTACAGGGAGAATGCATAGGAGAATAGGGTTGAGAAACATACCAGCCATGATGGAGTGGTGGTGCAGACCTGATGGGCTGAATGGCCCAATTCTGCTCCTATATCTGACGGTCTTATGTCCTTCTGGAGTTCTGCACTACCCTTCTCACAATTCATAATGACCTGTGTTTTGTATTATCTGCCCTGTACACCAGGGTCGTCTTCATTAATATATATCAGTAATGAAGTGTTGACCTAGGCTTGACCTTCACATTTTGTGGGGACAGCTCGAACCTGTGACTGTTTCACTCAGACCAGAGGTTGGTACCAATTGTGCCACTGTGGATCCCCAAGGCATTACCCGTGAGCTGAGATGATGAGGAGGGGAGGTTTGTAACCCCTTTTGAACCCTGCGACATTAGCTTCCACAGCACTTTTTTTCCAATTACAGTTCATAGATTATAGCAATTCACTTTGGAATCCTTTCCACTAAAAGGCCGAATCTTAGCAGAAATTGACTAAGTGTCAGTTCTGTAAGGTTTCACAGAGGGTTTCTCGCCGTGGAGTCTAGCGAGTTTTCTCAAGCAGCCCAAACTTGCCTCATTAATGTCCCAATGGTGCCCTTCTTGTCTGATACTTGCTCGATACTCCCTCTTATTGCAGGCAGAGGTACTTTCCACTGCTGAGATATCCTCATGCATGTGCCATCTTTAAAAGCCCATTGTGCCTTCTCTGCTGTGCCAGCATAAGTGCCACCATCCTCTTCTTGACACCTCACACTCACTCTCTCTCTCTGCTCCTGTACCCGCCACCCACCAAGGCTCACACTCTGACACTCTCACTGTCGCCTACAACACTTTCCCTCTCTCGCTTTTACCCACACTAACTCCTGGTACTACTAACCCTCCATGCCCTCTGTGCTGCCCGCTCACTCACTTACTCGCAACACCTCCCCACCTGCTCCAACAGTAACAGCTATGCCACCCGCTATCATCTCACCCAATCATTACCCTTCTGTCATTCAAGGAATGAAAAAAAAGCCCATGAAAGGACTGAAAGAGCAGGGCAGGTGGTTGGGTGCCCAATATGCAGCTCACCACCCCGCAGTCAAGACTATGGTGCCACAAGATGTGCCCTTCTCCATCACTGAGGAAGAGAGCACCAATCCCTCAGAAGACACATTAGCAAGACTGCCTCCTGTACCCTCACCAGCTCAGATACTAACACCTCAGTGGGTATGTTTGTCAGGTTAGGTTCAGGGGTACCTGTTGGTGATCACTTCACAGCCCCATCTCCTCAGCTGGCCAAGGAAGAAACGCCCACCAGGATGTCGGAGGACTGCCTGAGACCAGGTAGGAAAGGACCTCATGGTGTCAGCTACTAGGGACTTCATAGAAACACAGCAGGAGCAGGAGGCTTTGTGAGAGGACTGTACCAACTTATCTTACCATGCTGCCAGGCATTTAGCTGGTGACCTCTGTGTACAGTAGCAAGGCTGGCACATGTCAATGTCAGCATCCATGGATGCATGCAATTGCTGCCCACGTGGCCCACCCAGGGCATTGGTGCCGGAGGTCCGAAATGGAGGCGCAGAGGAGCATGTGGCGAGCTGGAGTTACCAAATACCCCACTCTGACTTTCATGTCGGGAATTTTTAGTGTCTAAGTTCC